GTAAACCTTGTAGTCTTTACGATTGGTTTAAATTTCCGTTTGATTTTTTGTAATATTCTTTCTTTGTTGGTGATTGTTCCCTTGTTGACTTGAGATTTTCTTAATCTCTTTCTAATTTTATTTGCCTATAAAAAAAAATTAATAGTTAAATAATTAAATTTCAATTAAGCATTAGAAATGACAATTATCTACGATCATAAGAGATATTTATTTTAGAAGCATAATTAATTTGTATTAATGTATGAAATAATAACAATAATATTCATCCAGTCAATTTCTAATATACTTTTATATTATATAAAAAATATTTATTTTTAATATATATATATATATATATATATATATATATATATATATATATATATATATATATATATATATATATATATATATATATATATATATATATATATATATATATATATATATATATATAATGAACATTTTTTATTTTAAATTCTAGGTAAAAAAAACCATCCAAATAAATAAATAGATAATCAAGAAGCAATGAAATCAATATTGCTTTTTTTTTTATTTATTTTATCTTGAGCAATTAATAATAATATTTGTGTATATTTATTTCAATATTTTTTTAATTTTTTTTCAAGAAACTCTTTCCCTTTGAATCTGAACAACGGATTTAAGACCCCTTTACTATTCATTTATGAGCCGTTATTAGTTACTTACGTTAGAGCATCTTTAATGGTACTAAACTAAATGAGCAAACTAAGATATTTTTTGTGGGCCCAGAGTATTTTGTAGGATTTAAAAAAATTATAGTTGATTTGAGTAGTTTTTACTTTAATGATAATTGTCTATAAGAAACCAAAACTTGACCCCATATTTTATATTTTTTATTCAAATTACCATTAATTTAATTATTTTAATTAAAATACATACAATTTTTTTAATAAAATTTACCTTTAAAACTTAGAAATAATATTAAATATATTTTATTATAAAATTAAAAATGATACAAAATTCACAACAATAATACATAAAAAAAATTACATTTTCGTAGGAATATAAAATAATACATGACAATAAAGAGTACCATATGATCCTCATGATTTAACTTTAATCCTCATGTTTTCTCTTCAACACACACAAAGTAGAGTATGATTTAACTATAAGTATTATGATTTCTCCACCATACACACAACTCATGAAGAGTACCATATGACCCTTGTGATTTAACTTTAACCCTCATGTTTTCTCTTCAATACACACAGCGTAGAGTATCATAGAAACCTCATGATTTAACTCTAAATCTCATGATTTTTCTTCAATAAATCCTATAATTGTGAAAACAACATAAAATACTCAATTTGGTGGTAGATATATTGAACCAAAGGTCTCATCTTCCACCACTATAAATCAAATGTCATATTGAACTTTATTTTTGTTTATATAAAACCACCCCCAAACCTTGAAGTTAAAAATTTTATGTTTATTTACGTATTTTTTCACTTTTAAAGTTCACTTTCATTTAAAGATTCCTTAAGTTATAAGTTAAGATATTTTCAAGTATATGCATGTCGTTTAAAATTTTATGTTTTTAAATCAAAGTTTTATGTTTTTAAACCAAAGTTTTAAAAATTCATGTTAGTATTAGTTTGTTTGGTCATGGTTGATTTATTTTGTGTTTGAATTGGCGTGTACATAATTGATTTTGATAAAATTGAGTTTAGTAGAATTGATTTTAATAGATTTAAGTTTAGTAAAATGTGTTTATGTTTGGATATATTCATGTAAAAGTGATTTAAAATCAAAAATTACTTTAAAAAAATCAAACTTTAACGTGTGATTTATTTTGTGTTTAAATTGGCGTGTACATAATTGATTTTGATAAAATTGAGTTTAGTAGAACTGATTTTAATACATTTAAGTTTAGTAAAATGTGTTTATGTTTGGATATATTCATGTAAAAGTGATTTAAAATCAAAAATTGCTTTAAAAAAAATCAAACTTTAACGTGTTATTTAGAAAAAACATATAAACATGTTTTTTATTGGAATATTTTATTAGTATTAAATAATATTATAATATGTTTTACATTGAATAATTAACGTTAACTATATAGATAATGAAAACTAAACTTTAGTTCATTAGATGTCATGTCAGCTCTACTATAATAAAAATTCTTTATTACTAACATAAGATATACAAAATTTTGGTTTAACAAGCCTGCGCTAAAGTTGCTTTTAGGTACATTAGATACGTTAGTTAAAACTTATAAATGCTCATCATTATCTCCTATCACTTCTCAAACACATATACACTCTCTCAAAAACACACACATTCATTCTCATTCTCTCTCACACAAAAACACACATTCATTCTCACTCTCTCATGGAAAATCCAAGCGACAAAAAGAAACCAAGCAAGAAAACATGCTAGCATGAAAGTTTGAAAAAAAAAAGAAAAATGGTAATCGTATTTTTTATGTATTCATTATTATTAAATTCTTCAGAATTAAATAGTTTGATTTAAATTACAGCAAGAAGCATGGTAGCAGGAGGGATAAAAAGACAGATTTCTCAGAATCATTCCAAGACAAGATTCAGGTCCAATACGCTGTTGTACGCTGCAGATATTTCTCTTTCTAACCATACAATTGCTAGTACATTTATTGTAATTCGCAAGACAAGAATCAAAATTGGTAAAAGTATCCATAGAATTCCATAAACCTCTTTGAAAGATTCCAATCCAAAAAAGGAGTTTATATCTTGGACTTCCGTTAACGATCCACTTCTCCCATAATGATATCTATGCTACCTAGTATTGTCATAATATCAGCCAATTTCATTCTTTTAACTAATTGAGGAAGAATTTGCAAATTGATAAAACCGGGTGGACGAATTTTCCATCTCCAAGAAAAACCATTCTGATCTCCTATTAGAAAAATTCCTAATTCTCCCTTGGGGGCCTCAATTCTCACATAAAGTTCTTGTTTCGGCAATTCAAAAGTAGGAGACGATTTTTTACCAATGAATGGATATTCAAAATCATTCCATTCTGGCTCCTTTTCTCTATCAAAGCAGCGAATTTCAAAATTTTCATAAGCCCCCTGGAATTCCTTCCAAAGCCTGTTGAATTATTTTTATGGATTCCACCATTTCACCAATTCGAAATAAATAACGAGCTAATGAATCTCCTTCTTTTTGCCATTGAACTTCCCAATCCAATTCCTCGTAACACTCATAATTATCAACTTCAAGTAGATCCCATTGTATTCCGGAAGCCCGAAGCATCGGTCCTGATAACCCCCAATTTATAACTTCCTCTCTACCAACAACACCCATTCCTTCAACCCGTTCTAAAAAAATTGGATGTCGCGTAATAAGTTTTTGATATTCAATAACCCTTGTTAAAAAATAATTGCAGAAATCCAAACATTTATCGATCCAACCATAAGGTAGATCAGCCGCTACTCCCCCAATACGAAAAAAAATTATGCATCATTCTCATACCTGTGGCAGCTTCGAATAGATCATATATTAATTCTCTTTCTCTAAAAATATAGAAAAAAGGGGTTTGTGCACCAATATCTGCCATAAAAGGTCCCAGCCATAGTAGATGAGAAGTTATACGACTTAACTCCAACATAATTACTCTTATATAGCTGGCTCTTTTAGGTACTTGAATATTTCCCAATTGTTCCGGTCCATTTACAGTTATTGCTTCTGTGAACATAGTAGCTAAATAATCCCAACGTGTTACATAAGGCAGATATTGTATAATTGTTCGGTTTTCCGCTATTTTTTCCATACCTCTGTGTAAATAACCCAATATTGGCTCACAACAATAACATCTTCACCATCCAGAGTAACAATAAGTTGCAGAACACCATGCATCGATGGGTGTTGAGGCCCCATATTTACTATCATGAGGTCTTTTCTTGTAGCTGGGACATTCATAGGTTTTTCCTCGATTCATTCTTCCATGAATCGTTCAAAAAAAAGTTAATCAAAATTCAGTATCTAATAAATCGAATAATTGAAAATGATTCTTGAAATTAGCTAATTTGTGAATGAATCCCGAATACCCAACCGATTTATTAAATTTTGATAACGTATTTTGTTTTTCTTTGACAAATACGACAATAGTCGTTGTCGTTTTCCCAGAATTATACGTAAACCTCTTTGAGATAAATAGTCCTTTGGATGTAATTCAAAATGTGAAGTAAGTCTTCGTATCTTATTAGTTAAGATGAATACTTGAAATTCAACCGATCCCGGGTTTTCTTCTTCTTTTTTTTTTTTTTGAAATAACAGGTATAACTGGATTTTTGATCATAAAATGAAAGCTTTCCCCCCTCCTTTTTGATAGATATTTTTATTGATCAGTAATAGTAATTACACTTATTTTTAATTTTTTATAAAAAAATTTCTCTTCATTTATTTAACAATTCTGAATTTCTTTTTTTTCTTTCAAATTCATTATTAAGGAATGTAATTCAAATAGATAATAAATACTATATTTATGGCGATCCTCTTCGGATACTTCGTCCAACCCAAGAATAGATATCATGTCCTGAAGTTCTTTGTAACGCTGTAACATTTGTTTAACTCTTTGCGCAGTTTCATAATGTTCTTCACCGACGATCCGAGGTTGGAGCATGGTGGACGTTGAATCTAAAGGATCTACTGCTGGATAGATACCTTTGGCAGCTAATCCTCTTGATAGTACAGTAGTTGCATCCAAATGTGCAAATGTCGTGGCAGGAGCAGGATCGGTCAAATCGTCTGCAGGTACATAAACTGCTTGAATAGAAGTTATTGACCCTTCTTTGGTAGAAGTAATTCTTTCTTGTAAAGTACCCATTTCAGTACCCAGGGTCGGTTGATAACCCACAGCGGAAGGCATTCGGCCCAATAAGGCCGATACTTCGGATCCGGCTTGGACAAAACGGAAGATATTGTCGATAAATAGAAGGAAGTCCTGCTCATTGACATCTCGGAAATATTCTGCCATAGTTAGGGCAGTTAAACCAACTCTCATACGAGCTCCGGGGGTTCATTCATTTGACCATAGACTAAAGCGACTTTTGATTCTGCAATATTTTTTTCATTAATTACTTCGGATTCTTTCATTTCCATATAAAGATCATTTCCCTCACGAGTACGCTCATCTACTCCGCCAAATACAGATACACCTCCATGAGCTTTGGCAATGTTATTGATCAATTCCATAATGAGTATTGTTTTACCTACCCCAGCTCCACCGAAAAGTCCTATTTTTCCGCCACGGCGATAAGGAGCTAAAAGATCGACTACTTTAATTCCTGTTTCAAAAATGGATAATTGTGTATCTAACTGTATAAAGGCAGGCGCAGATCTATGAATAGGAGATGTTGTGCGAGTATCTACAGGACCCAAATTATCTATGGATTCTCCAAGCACGTTGAAAATTCGACCTAGGGTTGCTCCGCCGACTGGAACACTTAGAGCAGCTCCTGTGTCAATCACTTCCATTCCTCTCTTTAGACCATCTGTAGCACTCATAGCTACAGCTCTAGCTCGATTATTTCCTAATAATCGCTGAATTTGTTGGCCAACTGTATCTCGACCTTGAACTATCAGAGCGTTGTAAATATAAGGCATCTTCCCTGGAAAAACTATATCGAGTACCGGACAGATTATTTGCGTAATACGCCCCAGATTTTTGTTTTCAAGTGCAGAAACCTCATTATCAGACGGGGGAGGATTTATTGTCATATTGAAAAATATCCTTTTTTTTCAAAAAAAAAAAAATTAAGAAAAAAAATGTTCGAGAACAACGCAAGTGTATTGGTTCATTATTTGAACATTTAATAACAAATGAAATGTATTAATTCATATTTAATAAAATATTTAATATTTAATAATAAAAAAATATGGAATAATAAATGTAATTTAATAATCGATTTTCACCATCCAATCAATTCAATTGTTTTCAAATTTCAATGATTTAATTTTTAAGGTCAACCCAGTCATCCAGATTGTAGACAATACTATCTATATTATCGATGGAATTCCAACCTGAACTTTGTTTATGATTCTGTTTTTCTATCTCATTGGTCCTTATTTTTTATTTTCTCAACATAGGATTTATACTGAGCATATTATTTCTTTTTACCGATTTTTCTTTTTATTGGGCAAATTCTGCCGATTTTGACATCTAGGATTTACATATACAACATATATCACTGTCAAGGTCAAAAATATATTTTTTATTTATTATTTAGATTCGAAAATTATATTCCAAAATTCAAAAAAAAATAATAAGAGATTCGAAAAAAACGGTTGGGTTGCGCCATACATATGAAAGAGTATAGAATAATGATGTATTTGCCAAATCAAATATCATGGTAAAATTTAACAATGACCCATTCGGATTAATTGATAATATTAGTTGATGGATCATTTGTAAAAAGGTTTGATTAACTCTTAAGTTATGTCGAGTAGACCTTGTTGTTGCTATAATTCAATTCTTAATTCATGCGTTGTAGGGGGATTTATGTTACCACAAACAGAAACTAAAGCAAAGGTTGGGTTCAAAGCTGGTGTTAAAGATTATAAATTGACTTATTATACTCCTGACTATCAAACCAAAGATACTGATATCTTGGCAGCATTCCGAGTAACTCCTCAACCTGGAGTTCCGCCTGAAGAAGCAGGTGCAGCGGTAGCTGCAGAATCTTCCACTAGTACATGGACAACTGTGTGGACCGATGGACTTACCAGCCTTGATCGTTATAAAGTACACTGCTACGAGATCGAGCCTGTTTCTGGAGAAGATAATCAATTTATTGCTTATGTAGCTTATCCCTTAGACCTTTTTGAAGACGATGTAATAAAATAAAAAAAAACTAATGAATAGTTGAATTTCATTATAAAAAATCCAATTTAGAATTTAAACTCTATTAAGTTATTGTTATCATTCGAATAGAGTAAACTTATTCTAGTTAGAAAGGGAAATAGTATTCTTTTCTATATATATTTCTTTTTTTAGAATCTGATATTTTCTTTGCTTTAATTGTCATATACTCCTATTTTGGATTCTTCCAATCCAACAAAGGGAAAGATTCTAAAAAAACTAAGTGGACCTAACCTATTGAATCAGAACTATATCCACTATTCTGATATTCCAATTGGTGGATAGAAATGAAATTCGAACAGTGTATTTTTTTTTCTTTTTAATACCTTTTGGTTCGAATTCTGCAAGAATCCGTCTATATTTCGGATAAAAAGAAATCTATGCAAAAGATAAAAAGAGATTGAAAAGTTAGGAGCTTCAATCAATAAGGGAGGGGTGTAATGAGCCTTGAATTAAGATAATAAAATATATTTTACTTAAATTGAAGTTGATGTTTATCTATGATAACTAATCATAAATTTATATTATAAATTAGTTCTAAACTTGAAGAAAAAACTAAGAAAAGAGACTGGTTTCTGGAAAGTCATTTATGTCTGAATAGGGCATTTGCAAAGAGAGAAAACAAGAAGAGGCGCTCAGCATCGTCTTATAGAGAAGAAGAAAAGAAAAAGCTAGTATGACATTTAATGTTTGATGTTGTATAGATTTTTAGTACTTCAATAAACTCTAGGTAGAATTCTCGAGATTGTTAATTCCGTATATACGTAATATAGTTTTGGTAGAATTCTCGAGATTGTTAATTCCGTAAGTACGTAATATAGTTTTGGTAGAATTCTCAAGATTGTTAATTCCGTATGTACGTAATATACTCTTTGTAGAATTCCCGAGATTGTTAATTCAGCATATACAGTACGTGTTTGTGCTATTCTATTAGTAAAATCCAAGCATACATCTACATCATTATTCCTTGGTCAATTAGGAACATTAATACTCCAAATCTGTGAAAATTAATTCAACTCCCCCAACAGTATAACGAAAAAGTTAAAGCTACATTTAACTTAAAAGCAGTCGGGAGGCATCTTCTATACCACCACGGCACCACCAATGCATTTACCATCTTCATCCCATGCACACGGAAGGTATCATGTTCCCCTTCTAAGAGAGCTGGTCGCTATGTCAATAACTTTATTTTATTATTATTATTATTATATTATTAATTAAAAAGATTTGGTATGCTATTTTTTAATCCTGTGGGTTAATTTTTTTTATAGAAAGTATTAAATTTATTTAAGTACTATTATATATTAAAATATTTGTTTTACTAATTTTTTATATCTGCGAGTAGGGCTGGAAATGAGTCGAGTCGAGTCGAATTCACCTCAGCTCGGCTCGACTAGTTAAGAATTGTTCGAATTCGAGTTCGAGTTTGAGTTCGACACAAACTTTTTTTTAAGCTCAAACTCGACTCGTTATTCACGAACAGTTCGCTTCGACTCGTTAGGTTCAGCTCACATGATTCACGAACTTAAAAACTATTTTTTTAAATATATATATTTTTTAGTATATTTGACATTTTAAATAAATAAATATATATATATATATATATATATATATATATATATATATATATATATATATATATATATATATATATATATATATATATATATTTAAATAAAATATTAAAATAAAATAAAAGTTATCATATTGAAATTTAACTTTATTTTTGAAATCTACTAATTCAAAACCTACACAACTTTCAAGAAATACATTTGAGAGTCTAATTCAAAAACTACTAAATTGAAGATTAAATTTGTCTAAGATTTGAAGTAAATATTTAAACCTAATCTTAAAGACAGTATAATTCTTTTCATATGTAATCGAGTTGACTCATGAACCTAACGAGTCGAACTATGTATAGTTCAAGTTCAACTCATTTAGTTAATGAACTTAATTTTTCGCTCATACTCAACTCATTTGGTTCATGAACCTAGTTCAACGATTTAATTGTCGAGTCGAATTCCGAACTATATTCGAGTTGGTTTGGTTAATTGCCAGCCCTATCTGCGAGGGTTCTTTTTTCAGATAGCAATAAATTTATTTACTTAGTGTTATTTATCAAAATGACGTGGCTTGCTATTTTTTAATGAGTTGAAAAGGTGGAGAGTTAGTTTTTTTTTTAAACATATTTGTTTCACATTTAACCTAATCTTTACTCTTTAAATTAGCGAGGGAATCCAGAATCACCGTATCACAATTTCACAAATCACTCTTCCTCCTTACTATGATGAAGAAGATAAGTTTTATGAGATCCTCACAACCACTATCGGCACCTGTCCTTGCTTTGAAAAAGAAAAAGAGAAGTTGTGTCAAAACTTTTCAACAACAGCAATCACTTTCTTCTACAGAACCTGAATTTTACTTACCAGATGATTGTTGGGAGCATGTCTTCTCATTCATCATCAATCCACTCCACGACGACACCAAAGACAAAAATAAACTTTGCTTTAAATCCTTATCTCTCGTCTCAAAACGCTTCCTCTCCATCACCAACCGTCTCATATTCTTTATGAAAATTTATTATCCACAACTTTGTTTTCTCCCTTGTTTCTTCCATAGATTCTCCAATCTTAATTCCCTTGATCTTCGGTTTGGCTCTCATGATCTCGATGCAACCATTGCTTTGGCTCTCTGTGACAGACCAACATTGAAATCTTTATCTATTTCCTGGATTGATCTAATGGATGCAAACTACATTACTTCACATTACATTGATTCCTTCTTGAGTTTGAAGAGTTTGAATTCTCTTGATTTTCGGTGTTCTAAGAGGATGTCTTCCTCTCAAGAGTTTTGTTCTTGAACATTGTACCGGCTATAGTTACAATGGAATTTATAGTTTACTGTCTAACTGTAGCGGGATAAAACATTTGGATCTTCAAGGTGCTGATTTTCTAAATGATCATCATGTTTTCCGGTTATCTTTGTTTCTTCCTGATTTGGTATCAGTAAACCTTAGTAAATGCTCCAACCTTAGAGAATCAGCTTTGTTTGCACTCATTAAGAACTGTCATTCACTTTGTGAGATCACAATGAAACACATATATTTTTATGATTTCACAATGGAAAACATATATATTGGGAAAGATAGGGTAGAAATTTCGGATATTTCAAAAGATTTTGATGTCAACCCTCAATTAAGTTTTTGCCGAGACCACCATATTGTTTGCTTTCATCTTTCCTAACTTGCAGCATCTCGATTTAAGTTTTTGCCGAGGCATATCTAAAAAAAGCATTTGTCAAGTTTTAAGTAGAGACATTTGTCCTTCGCTCATTTTAATGATGTTAGAGGATTTAAAATGAATTTTGTAGCTCATCAGCTAGAGTTTTTGGACTTATCTGGTACAAATGGTGATGATAAAACACTCTATGAGATTACAAAAAATTGTTGTTGGTTTTTGAAACTATTATTGATAAGGTGTAAATATTTGACGAAAAAGGGAGTGATGCATGCAGTTAAAAACTGCACACAATGTGTTGTGATGAAGTGAATGATGATGATGTTGTTGTTTCAATTCTCTCATCAAGGCCATCATTAAAATAATAGGATTGCTATGTTGACACCCTTTTCTACACCCTACATCCAACTTACTGTTCACAAATACTTGAACAAATTCCTCAGAACATGATTAATAATGTGTATTTTATTGGTTAATGAAGCAGTGAAAGTGGTCAATAAATTATAGGTAAAATAATTGGCTAATGAAATAGATTTTTGTGGTTAATGCAACTGTGAAGTTGGTTAATGCGCAATCTTATATTTGTATTGTAAAATAAATTTTAAAAATAAATATTTTTTTTATAAAAAAATTAATATTTTAAAAATATATATTATTTTAATAAAAAAATATTGTTCACCGTATAAATACGGTGAACAGTATATACGGTATAAGTATTTAGGTGTAGGAAAGGGTGTCAAAATAATATTTTTCTTAAAATAATCCAACTCATTTTTTTTACTAGTGGATGTCTTATTTATTAAAGTTTTGATTTTGTTTTTAGATTTATTTCTATTTATTTGTCATTTTGTCGAATAATCATCTAAATATAGTTAGTTTTAAATTTTGATATTTTTCTTTCCACTAATTTGAATTATACTGCTGATCTCACAGTTAAATTTTTGAAATATCAAGCAGTGATATAAGACATGTATTTGAAAAACAATGGTGCTTCATAATCTTTCTATATCCTAAATTTTCATTATTTTGGCATGAGAATTTCACTTTCTAATTAGATGTACCTTTATTTACATCAAGTTTATTTTACTTTTACCTATTAGAATCCACTCTTACATTTAGTGGCATTGGAGACCCTTTGTGAATGGATTTTCATTAAACGGATTCATAATGAATGCCTTAACCTTTCTATTTGGTCGATTCTCATTAACTTTGCCATGTAAATAAATTCATTATCTTAGGCCATGACTCTAGCCGACTGTTTATTATGGAATTAGAGTTTTTTTTCTTCCTTTAATGTAAATAAACTCATTAGAGTTTTGTTTTACATAAGTACATACTAACTTAAATAAAAATCTCCTATTATGTTATAGAAAGAATATAAAACATTTGTGTGAACTTTTTAACAATATTATTCATAAGAATAAGTAAACATATCTAAGAAAATTGCAAAACAATAATTCTGAATAGCTGAGAACTCGTTGGAAAAAGTAGGAGCTCACCCAACTTAAAACAAGACAAAACGAGCACACTTTCAGTAGTATTCTCGTCAAGCGGAGACATTGGCTCGCTAGACGAGCAAAGGCGATTCAAAGTTAACTTTCAGGCTAAGTTACTTTATTGAAAAGTAAGACAATTCATTGGGCAAGATGGAAAACTCGTCAGGCAAAACAAGGCGGTTTAGAAACCTCATAGCTAAGTAACTTTAAGATGAAGGAATAGTTTGCTTGCTAGGCAAGAATGGGCGGCTCGTTAAGCGAAATATAAAGGCCAAAGCCAAATTGGAAAAGCTTGACATAACTTCTGGATGAAGAAAGTAGGTTCGCTTGACGAACTAAAGGTCTCATTAAGCGATAATGACAGCTCATACTATAAATTAAAGACGCAACTATTCCATCAAGAAATCATTCATTGTATAATTCTATATCAAAGATACATAAATTCAACAAAGAGAAATGAGATGTTAAAGATTTAAGGTGGAGGCTTTGTTCGGTTCGAGAAGTTTGTTGTGAATCAGATACCTTTAAACAAAGTATAAACGGTTTCTTAATGATCAAGAAACTCACAAGGGTTAGGGTTAACAAAGAAAATAAGGTAAAACAACAAGGAACAACAAGGGAGAGAGGTTATTTTGTTATTCTTGTATACTTGTAATCTTGTTTTAAGAGAAAGGAAAGAATAGCAGTTTAATAACCAATCCTTGTTGTTCCTTGTTGTTTTACCTTTTTTTCTTTGTTAACCCTAACCCTGCTATTCTTTCCTTTCTCTTAAAACAAGATTACAAGTATACAAGAATAACAAAATAACCTCTCTCCCTTGAAATTAGGATTTTATTTTCCTATTTTTCCTTATGCCAAGATTGAGAAACTAGCATCCTATTTATAATAAAATAGCACACTAACCTAATGAGCTTTTTAACAATTACCCATTACAAGCTAACTTAGGGTACAAGTTAACTTAAACAATTGGGCTTACAAGCAAGACCCAATTCAACATGCTAACAACCCTAGCAATATTGACTAATGCATGTTAGAACAAACTTCGACTACAACACGCATTACTCGCGAACAGACTTCGACCATACTAGAGTTCGATCCAATATCTCACAAAGTTGTTATTAATGTTATTTCATCTCTTTCTTCTTGATCGTCATTATATAGCTACTGAGTAAGAGAGCGTAATTTTCTTTTGTTGGGGTTAGATGCAGTCGTCCAAACACTCAAGTATTTACCTTGATCATGGCGTTATATGTAGTTCTAGTTATGAATTAATATTGAAGGCTGTCTTCGTTTTTAATGCTTGTTGTAACTGAGCTAACTATAACTTGTTTTCATAGTTATGAATCGATATTGAGAAATACTTTTCATTACTAGATCAAAGACTTTCATTTGTAAGAAGTTAAAACTAATGAGATGGATTTAGATTTACCATTCACATATATTATATAATCTTTATAATATTGTATTGGTTAAAAAGATGAGAGATAGTCTATTAAGCAATACGATTAAATTTACGTTGTTATTTCGACATAAACAACAAACATATAGCAGTAGGAGATAATTTTAATTATTGACTATAAATATGTATAATTGATCACGATAATGCATGAGGATAGGACAATGAAATGTAGCCCCAACAATTTATCATCATTTGTTAAAAACATATTTTTATTTAGTGTTATTTCAATTTAGTTCTATAAACAACAAATTTTTTAGAATATTTATATTAAAACCAAGATAATTCAACGTCTATGATATCACTCTAGTCCTTATAGATACAACAAACATAAATATACTTACTTTTGTTTTAACAACAACGACCTAAAGTGTGCTCACACAATGTCACCGCCTTAGGCCCAATAAAATTATTCCAGTCCATTTTCTTTTTTCAAAATAGACTTTGTTCTAGATTGCTCGCAAGATCCACAATGAAAGAGTCAAGAACGAGATCCAATAAAAAAAATGTGCACATGAACTTCACTTCATACAAGGGAAGAAGATTTTTCCCTCCCAACGCATCTCTCACTGTCGTATCTAATTGGATGACAACCCACGTAACACATTATATTGCGTGGGGGAGGTTTTACCCGCTCGTACAATATAAAGACCAATGCGCACTATTTCAGGTATTCAAATTGATTTCCTCTCAACTTACTTCTCATTCCCTCATTTACTTGGGTCTTTGAGTGTTAACCTTAAAAGTCCATCCTCACTTCGTCGCCCTGGAAGTTTGCTCCACCATACCAATATTTTACTCCACCACTTCACTATCTATTTTTGGTTCCATAGTGGAACAATGAGGTCGTCTATGGGAATCGACTTCTGATTCATGTGATCATCCACGAAGAAAAACTGTCTCTTCACTAAAGATATGAATCGCTGATCTTATTCTCTCGAAGTACCGATTGTTAGAAATATATTTTCGAGAGTGTATTATCGTATTCACAGGGATTGTACGAAAATATTTGATGCTTTCCGTTTAATATTTTAGTGGCTTAAGAAAATGGGTTTTCAAATGGTTTCTATTTGGTAACATAAATTTGCAAGAAGTAAAACACGGTAAAAGTTGGTTTTAGTTTGATAAAAAACATGCAAAATTACTATAATGACCACTACTGCTACCAACAGTTGAGACTTATTCGAGAAACGATCCCCAGATTACTCAAGCGCATTAGGGGAAGGAAACATTATAGCAAGCCATCGCATAGAACATGTCAAGCATTCATAAAGGAAGCGTAACATGCGAAAGAAGAAAATTAAATGCACATCTTTCAATGATAGTAAACTCTCATCAAAGATGTCCAAGAATATCCACTTTAACTAAGGAAGGCACGTGTCACAAACTTTTACCCTGCTTATCAGAGTAAGGATTTGGAGACAACTATTTTAGGCCGCTCATGAAACCCAAAACAGGCCCAAGATACATTAACTCTCGCTAAAAGGGCGGGATAGGTGAACCATTCTTCTCTGCGTGCACATGAAATCTCCACTGAAACCCATATTGAACGTTACATCAATCTAATGTTCCACCACGTTCCACGCCACCTCACCCATACTCAGTTAAAGATCAATCCTCCTATAAATACATGAAAGTGTGCTAATTCACATGTATTCAAATTCTATCCATTTAAACATTATTATGCACAGTCACTGGAGCGTTCGCGTGTTAATCTTACAATGTCAGCCTCTCATCCATTGAATCAGAAGTACATATCACTGTAATTACCACCAATCTCCATTCTCCAATCACTCTTTCGTCCATGTGAGAACAATACTAGAGATTTAACTAATCTACCTTCCAATAAAAAACTTATTGTTTGCAAATAGATTTTTAAATTAAATTTGTTCTGATGATTGAATTGAAAGATACAAAGTTCGCTGAGCTCCCAAAAAATTCAATTTCAATTAGACAAAGCGATTAGCATACTATCAAACATTCAATCAAGATGTTAAATGACCACCATTATACTTTTCATATATATATTGCAGCCTTAAATAATTTATTTTCATGGATTAATCATTACATTTTAATATGGCCATTAACACAAACATTGCATAACTGATTACAAAATTACAATCTGGTTCCTAGAGAAGACCACTAACTGGTGATGTACTAAAAACTGACATCTCCTTGTTATTGTTGTTATCTGCTAAAGATGTTTCATTGTTTCCACTAATCTTTCTTCTAGGCTTTGCTTCTCCAAGCATCATTATCACATCCCTCATGCTTGGTCTGTCTTTAGGAAGCTTAGCAGTGCAAACAACTGCTATTCTTAAGACTAAAAGCATTTCTTCTATAACATGCCTGCAGTTTCCTACACTTGGATCTAATGCTTCTTCTAGAGGTTTCTTGTCTCTGATCTTCCTTCTAATCCACTCTACAATGTCTACGCTCTCTCCGAATTCCGCATCTAATGGCCTCTTTCCTGTCACAAGCTCCAACAAAACTACTCCATAGCTGTATACATCAATCTTTTCATCCACCTTTAATGCATATCCATATTCTGCCAATTCATAAATCATTCAAAATGTTATATTGTATAAAAAATCCATGATATCAGTGCATACTCGTTAAACTCGGTTAACTAGTCTATCCTTCTTGATCTAAACCTGTAAGGAAGAAAAATGTAGCTTTAATCACAGATAAAATAAGACTTGGAAACTAGTAACTCACCAGGAGCAATGTAGCCATAGGATCCAGCAACCATGGAGATGGTTTCGTTCTTCCGGATCATCATCTTGGCTAACCCAAAATCTGCTATCCTTGCTTCAAGATTTGCATCAAGCAGTATATTATTTGACTTAATGTCACGATGGATAACCGGCGGATAACAGTCGTGATGAAGATAAGCAAGTCCTTGAGCAACTCCTAGAGCTATGTTATATCTTGAAACCCAATCAACAAGCAACCTAACAGCTTGCTTACCATGCAAGGCATCTCCCAGGTTTCCATTATGCATAAATTCATAAACTATCATCAAATCAGTGTCATTGTGAAGAAATCCTAAAAGTCTAACAATGTTCCTGTGTCTTAGTCTCCCTAAGAGGTTCACCTCACCAACAAGCTCATCACTGCCTCTTCCTACTTCAACATCATTTCCTGATCTCCACAACTTTTTCACTGCTACGATTGTATCGGATTGCGGTACCTCAGCTTTGTAAACAACGCCGGTAGCTCCCATTCCGATCACATTTGTTTCCTTGATGCAAGCTAGAATGTCGGTACTTGTAAACCCAAGTCTCTGAAATGCTATTAATCTCCATGGCCACCCTTTGCTACCTTTATAAAATCTTTCTTTGAAGCAAAATCCACCAGTGTACCACCTTACATATAAAGATCTTGCTAACAAGATTGTAATTCCAATGGCTAGAATTGATGATATTCCAATGATCCATCCTGTGATAATATGCTTTGCATGTGAACTTCCATACCTTGAGGAGTATGCCGAGTTTTGGTTACATGAAGGGAGGATTCCACCACATAGGCCGGCATTACCGACGAGATTGTTCGGGTTTATAGTTCTTAGCATACCATTTTCTGGCACAGAACCTTCAAGCTTGTTGTATGAAACATTAAATGCTTCCAAAGCTGGTGATAAACCAAAGTTCTCAGGTATATGACCGGCCAACGAGTTGTTGGAAAGATCAAGCATTGCCATTGTAGGCATGTTAGCTAGTGCTTTTGGGATTTCACCAATCAAAAGGTTGTTTTGCAGGTTCAAATTTACTAGTTTTTGACATGAACCTATGCTTTCTGGAATGGCTCCGGATAAATGATTCGACGAGAGATCAAGAACAGTAAGTGAAGGAGAGTCCTGAAATTGGTTTGGTATTTTACCTTCAAAGTTGTTGTGGGAGACCATAAATACTTGAAGATTTGGAATGGAGAGAATAGTGGAAGGTAGAGAAGAATGGAGTTTGTTTCTTGAGAGATCAATGAAAGAAAGAGATGTTGAAGAAGGAATATCATCTGGAATTTCACCAGTGAGACTATTGTTAGCTAATTCTAACCTTTGAAGCCTCTCAAGCTTGCCAAGACCAACCGGAACTGATCCAGACAGAAAATTGTTTTGAACTCGAACACGAACAAGCGAAGAACATTTTGATAGGCTCGATGGAATTGAACCGGAGAAAGCATTGTTGAAAAGTATTAGCTTGGTGAGATTTGCTTTGCTGCAAAGAGTTTCTGGAATCTCTCCGGATAGTGAATTGGACGATACATCCAACCATTGCAACGGTGAATTCTTGCCGAGATTACTAGGCAATGGACCTGATAATGAATTGTTCCATAGCTCAAGAACCTCCAATTGAGGCAAATTCCCAATGCCAGAAGGAACAAAACCAGATAACTGGTTTCCCATGAAGTTCAGAAGCTTCAAATTCTTCAGCAGACTGATTTCATCTGGAATTTTTCCTGACAAAATGTTATCAGAAAGATCGAAAAACTGCAATGAAGTCATGTTACCAATTTGTGATGGAATTCTTCCTTCAAAATTGTTGTTGTATAAGAAAAGTGTGTCCAATAGCTTGAGATTTCCCAATTCATATGGAATCTCACCACCGAGATTGGAAACTGCTAAATCAAGATACTCAAGACTAGTGAGATTTCCAAATTCTAATGGAATCTCGCCTTCGAATTCGTTATATCCAAGAATCATATACTCCAATGATGAAAGCTTTCCAAGCTCACCAGGAATTTTCCCAGTAAGATTATTCCCAGATAAACCAAGAAACTTCAACTTATGCAAGTTACCGAATGATTTCGGAATTGAGCCTTCGAAGAAACTGCCTCGAAGATCAAGCATTTCTAACAAAGTTGCATTTCCAATGTCCAAAGGAATTGAACCTGAGAATTCATTGCTGGAACCATTTAACGCTGTTAACCTCGACGCCTTTCCAAGTCCTGCCGGAAACTCACCAATGAAGAAATTCTGACTTACATCAAGAATGCTCAATGTGGTGAGATTGGATATAGATTTCGGTAACTTTGATGAAAATGCATTGCAACATAAGTTAAGACAAGTAAGAGATTGAAGCCTTTGTATATCGTTGGATACTATACCACTGAGATTCTTGCGAGAGAGATCGAGATTCTCCACGGTTCCGGCCGAGTTGCATTTGATTCCAGTCCAGTTACAATGAGGTGAATCCAACTTCCAATCCTGAAGAGTGCTTAAAGGATCAATAAGACCCGATTTTATCGAAAGTAAAGCCGATACTTCATTATTCGAAGCAGCAGAAAAACTGCAAGAGAAAGAAAAAATGACAATGTAACAGAAGAAAATGAAAAACTGTGTTTTCATCTGCATTTTGTTTAAGGCTCAGTTTTCCATAATTTACACCTAATGAAAAACAAAATATATGTGATTTATAACATATAAATAAACTATATGATAAATTTGAGTCAAATTTAATAGGTAGCTAGAGAGGTTTACGAAGATTTGGAGTTATTTGTAGTTTATCCGACATAAAACATGGGAGAGAATATGTATGACTTTCAATATTGTTGGTTTAGTTTCTAATTTTCCTGTTATAGTTATAACTTATCCTTGTTTTTTCTTAAGTGATTAAAAAATTTATCTCCTATTTGTTTATGTTGAATTCCATTTTACGGTAACTACATTCATGCTTAAATGATTGTAAGGAATTAGAGAATATAAAATTAATAAAATTCCATTTTCACTTGAAAGCTAGATCTAACATGTTCACAAGTATACAACAATTGAGTGATCTATAATTAAGATTTAACCAGCTGTGTGAAAAAAGAAAAACATGGAAAAGTTAAAAAAAAAAAAAAAAAAAAAAAAGGTATAGTTACCATACAATTAGATTAATATGTTGTTAAGGGAACTTTATAACATTATTTTAACTTTAATATGATCCTGTTTTCAGACAAGAAACAAAGTTTAAAGCATCTTTTCTAATATATATTGATTTATTTTTGTTCATCCACTTTAAGTATATTTTATTAGTCCATTACCATATGAGTGTAAAAGTAGAATTTCAAATTTCATCTGAATCTGATTCTAGTGTGACACAAAAAAGTTGCATCTGTTAAAGGGTAACTTCTAAGTATGACAAAGATTTTGAAATGATGCATTGTTGGCTCAACTAACATGTGGTTAAGGTCTTGTATTTATGATCCTCTTAACATTGAAATCCAAATTAAAGCCATATGTAATAATTAGAACAGTTCCCAACACTAGAAATTATATCTTTATGAAAAATCTTGTCACATTTAACGTATATAATTTATGTCTCTCATATATCAATATTTAATTTCTTTATAGTCAAAATCAAACTAAAAAAAAGAGACTATTATTAGGTTTGTTTGTGATCATAAAATTCTTATTATTTTATATAGATTTTAATTTTTTTTAAAAGTAACAAATACACAGTTGAAACTATAAATTATTCTATCTGAATTAAATGATCTATTTAAAAAAAAAAAAGTTAAGTATATTTATACTTCTAGTAAATATTTTGATTTCGTTTTTAGTCTCTCACAATATTTTTTTTAAAAATGGGTCTTTCTAAAATTTTTAATTCACATTTTTTATCTCTTGCAATTTAGCGACAGTTTTTATAATTTAGCGACAGAATTAACGACAGTTTTAGCGACGATTTTTAATTTAGTGACTGAATTAACGACGATTTTGATGTTAAGGATCAAAAGTGTAGATGAAAATTTTTTGTTGTGAATCGAATACCTTTAAACAAAGTATAAACGGTTTCTTAGCAAGAAACACACAAGGGTTAGGGTTAATAAAGAAGAAAACAACAAGGATGTGTTATTAAACTGCTATTATTTCCTTTCTCTTAGAACAAGATTACAAGTATACAATAATAACAAAATAACTTCTCTCTCTTGAAATTAGGATTTTATCTTCCTATTTTTCCTTATATCAAGATTGAGAAACTAACATCCTATTTATAAGAAAAATAGCACACTAACCTAATGGGCTTTTTAACAATTACCCATTACAAGTCAACTTAGGGTACAAGTTAACTTAAACAATTGGGCTTACAAGCAAGACCCAATTCAACATGCTAACAATCCTAGCAATATTGACTAATGCATGTTAGAACAAACTTCGACTACAACACGCATTACTTGCGAACAGACTTCAACAACACTAGAGTTTGATCCAACGTCTCACAAATCTCCACCTTGGATCTAACTCTATAACATCAAGAAACTAGCTTTCTTCATGCAGCTTTATTAATTGCATACAGTGGAAAAACATGCAACTGGGCAACGTCTTGGTGATCATATCAGCAGCATTATGATCTGTCGAAACCTTCAGCACTTGGACTTCTCCACGCTCGATTACCCCTCTGATGAAATGCAGCCTTACATCAATGTGCTTGGTTCCCTCATGATAGGCTGAATTCTTCGACAGGTGTATTGCACTTTGACTATCACATTTAACAGTGATAACTCGACCTTGAAGTTTTACCTCCTTTGCAAAACCATCAAGCCACAATGCTTCCTTCACAGCTTCAGTTAGGGCAATATACTCCGTTTCAGTGGTTGATAAGGCAACGACCTTCTGAAGTGTTGCTTTCCAACTGATTGTTGTCCCAAACATAGTGAACACATATCCAGAGATAGATTTTCTAGAATCCATACAACCTGCATAATCAGAGTCGACATATCCTTCGATTGCTGCTTTACTATCTTCACCCAACGCTCCACCATAAATTAGGACTCTATTCAGAGACCCATTTATGTACCTTAAAATCCACTTCAATGCTTGCCAGTGAGCCTTTCCAGGATTCGCCATGTACCTGCTTACAAGACTTACTGCATATGCTATGTCGGGTCTAGTACAGACCATAACATACATCAAAGAACCTACTATGTTAGCATATGGAATGCTATTCATATAAGTTCTTTCAACATCAGTGCTGGGACACTGATCTATACTCAGCTTGAATTGAGGGTTTGTCGGAGTCACAACAGGCTTTGAATTCGACATACCAAACTTTTTGAGAACCTTCTGTAGGTATGCCTCTTGAGATAAGCATAATTTTGACTGCTTTCTATCTCTCCGGATGTCAATCCCAAGAATCCTGGACGCAGCTACCAGATCCTTCATGTCGAACTCTTTATTGAGTTCAACCTTCACCCTCATTACCTCTTCGACATTGTCGCTTTCTATTAGAATATCATCTACATAGAGAAACAAAATAGCAAATGAATTACCCAGTCGAAATCTGAAGTAAACACAATGGTCGAACTGACTTCTGATGAAACTTATGTGTGCCATGAACTTGTCGAATATCCTATTCCACTGTCGAGGAGATTGTTTCAGTCCATATAAAGATCTATTCAGTTTGCACACATAATATACCTTCCACCTTTCGACATACCCTTCAGGTTGCCTCATCAGGATTGTTTCATCTAGATCACCATACAGGAACGCAGTCTTCACATCCATCTGTTCCAGTTCAAGGTCGAACTGGGCCACCATGGCAAGCAACATTCGAATGGATCTGTGCTTCACAACAGGGGAGAACACATCATTGAAATCGATACCTTCTTTTTGAGTGAACCCCCTAGCAACCAATATTGCCTTGTATCTCTTCGACGTCACTCCTTTGATTCCTTCCTTAACTTTGAAAATCCATTTACAGCTGACTAACCTGGCTCCAGCAGGTTTCTTGATCAGTTCCCAGGTGTTGTTATCATGAAGAGATTTCATCTCATCATCCATGGCCTTCAGTCATTCAGTCTTCTTTCGACTCCTCATAACTTCCTTATAGTCTCTAGGTTCTTCATCTAGAACCTCACTAGTAAAGATTAAGGCGTAAGCTATAAGATCTGCATACCCAAGTCTCTGAGGTGGCTTGATGATTCTCCTTGACCTGTCTCTTGCTAGCAGGTAGTCATTATCAGTCTCCTCATCTTCGACAACATCTTCTGCGTCTTCTTCGACTTCATCTGGGGTAAGCAATTCAGCATCAACATGCTCCACCTCAACAGGAATTTCTTCCTGTTCCAGCTCTTCGTCAGCATCATCAGTTTTCTTGAAAGCCATCTCTGCTTCATTGAAAACTACATCTCGACTGGTGATACACCTTCTATGACCTGGCTCTAGGCACCATAGCCTATAAGTTTTGACTCCTTTAGGGTATCCCATGAACATGTTTTTCAGAGCTCTAGGTTCAACCTTGTCTTGCCTAATATGAGCATAGGCCACACAGCCAAATACTCTCAGTTTGTCGAGACTAGGTGGATGTCCCGACCAAACTTCTTCAGGTGTCTTCATTCCCAAGGCAGTCGAGGGACATCTATTTATCAGGTAAGCTGCTTTCGAAACAGCTTCCGCCCAAAACACCTTCTTCAATCCAACACTAACCAACATGCATCTAACCCTTTCAAGGATTGTTTGATTGAATCTCACAGCTAAGCCATTTTATTGAGGAGTACCTGCTACAGTCTTATGCTTTGCAATCCCATACTCAACACAGTAACTGTTGAACGCTTCGTTGCAGAATTCAAGGCCATTGTCGGTTCTCAACCTCTTAACCTTTCTGCTAGTTTGAGTTTCGACCAGAATCTTCCAACTTTTGAAATTCTCAAAAGTTTCATCCTTTGTCTTCTGAATGAATACCCATAGCTTTCTGGAATAGTCATCAACGATGGATAGAAAATACCTTGCACCTGAGTGTGAAGGATTCCTTGCAGGCCCCAAAAGATCAGCATGAATGTAATCCAGGGATCTATGTGTTCTTTGCTTGCCTTTGTTAAACTTCGCCCTACATGATTTACCAAATACACAAGATTCACAAAATTCCAACTTTTCGACTTTGTCATCTCCTAGCAGGTTCTGCTTCCCCAATTCGACCAAGCCTCTTTCGCTGACATGGCCCAATCTCATGTGCCATAATTCTGTCTTCGACATAGATTTCGTGGATGCAACATTTGTCGAACCACTTACAACCTCAGCCTCAAGGGTATACAAGCCTTGTTTCTTCATGCCTCTTAAGACTTCCTTCGACCCCTTCATGACTCTTAGAATACTTTTCTCTCCTTGAAAAATGTATCCTTTTCTGTCGAATTCACCAAGAGAAATCAAATTTCTCTTCAAGTCAGGTACGTACCTGACTTCAGTCAATAACCTTATTGACTCATCATGGAGCTTGAATCTCACAGATCCAATACCTGCAATTTTGCAAGATTTATTGTTTCCCAGCAGTACAGATCCACCATCTTGATCACATAGCTCCTCGAACATATCTTTGTTTGGAGTCATGTGTCAAGTGCAACCTGAATCCATAATCCACTCTTTCCTTGAATCGC